GTCACACCACACGCGCCGGCAACTTTTACATACCAATAAATAAGGGCCACAGCAATTTGCGTCCATCAGACATTCTGTGCAGAAGCATCGTGGTGGATTTTTTTTTTTTTTTTTTTTTTTTTTTTTTTTTTTTTTTTTTTTTTTTTTTTTTTTTTTTTTTTTTTTTTTTTTTTTTCCTCTTTTCAATCGGGCGCAAAATCTGGATGTTTGATGTTTTGGACAAATGAAGGGGTGGTTGAAGAACAGGCGCGGCAGGGAATTCACCGACTCAGCTCCAGTTTATGGACGTGACTAGGACGCAAGTATCATAAATGACTCCAAAGGGGTCAAGTACTTGTCACCTCCAACCGCCCACTGTATACAATGTATGGAGAAAGGAGGCAGAGATCATATGTACGTGCTCCGTCGCGATCACGCATGTTTATATCTTTTCTTTTGGCCGCGTCAACTGGCACACCTGGCACCATGGAGCCATAAAAACCGTCAATTATGGAATTAGGTCCTTGGTATGCCGTATTATGACGGATACCCTCCGAGTGGTTCAATAGGCTCCTACCTTACGCAGCGGACATTGTCCAGATTGGGTCGTCTGAAACGCCCTGACCCCTGGGCTCGCGTAGTTGCGCGGGCTCGAGCGCTCCGAACCTCGTCAGATCGTCAGCCCATTAGCCAGTCATCTTCGGCGTCACGTCCCGCCTCCCCCTGCCCTTGCTCAGGTGGTCACCTGCATCTTGCCCTACAGAACACCAGGACGTACGCGGGCATGCATACATGGTCAACATCTTAACTTTGCAACTCGCGTCAACCTGACACATGTGCAACGCACAGGGGGGCTCGTCACCAGCTTTCTGTCACTGGTCTCTCTCACTCGTCTTCAACACTGAATGTTCCATGTCCGCCTTCAATGTTGGCTTCAATATTCATCTTCTGCACAGCCTCGCGAACAACAACGGGTTGGTCCACCCGCTCGAAGCCCAGAAGCCCTCTCGGCCCCCAATTCCAGCAGCATCGTTCATCTCATCAACACGTTCCAAGCTCTTGCACACGCTCACGTCTGTGGGTATGCGCCAGCTCAGGTACAGGAAGATAGCGTTTCTCCACCTCTCTTTTCTCAAGCGGCTACGAGTGCTAATACATACACCAAGGGCCCAAATTTTACTTGGTACTAAATCTTGGCACATCCAACAAAAAGTCAAAGGGTGTCCCTTTCTTTTTTGGGGGGGTGGTTCCTCTCCCTGAGTCTCTCTTCCCCCCCTTCTAGTTTGTGGCTCTCGTATCGACCGGGATATCACCAAGAAAATCATTCTCATACACTTGCATGACAGGTTCTTGTCTGCTCGAGGCCATATCTGCTTCATCGCCAGTCCTAACGGTTTCGTCAACGTCTCAATAGGCAGCTTTGGCTAGGTGTGGCACTCCCACAACGTCTCACCAACTAGTCCCAAACCCATGCCCTTGTCATGTTCAGATCGGCCAACCACATGTGTTGCCGAGTATCAAAGCGGAGGCTTGGGACGGTGCGCCAGGGGTTTTTGAGTTCTTCATCACAACTCCGTATGACTCCATACCTCTATCAAAAAATGCGGCTTGTGACCTGCGAGATCAAACCATGGTTGCGGTCACAACGGTCAGAACCGCCACCGCAACTGAAGGATGGCCTGCCCACTTGAACTTCTTGGCCTGACCTGATCCTCGTAACAGGGAATGAAACTAAGCTGCCACGCCAATGCGACAGAACAAAGACGTCGTTGTTCGGCAGTCTTGTTGCCGAGCGGACATATCAGGTACACCCTTGCCTCTCGCACGCCAACACCTTTTATTATTGCCGTCTAGCTCTTTATATCCCTGCCCACTTTATGTACTGCATGCACTACTATTCACGAGCCGAGTCGAGTTGAACCGCTCATTTACGTTCCTACATACAACCTCTTTCCGTTGACCGTGAATGAGGTGTGAAGACACGAACTCGTCGGCGCATCGACAAATATATCCGAATTGAACATACCGCTCGTTCCAAACATAACCATCTTAGTTTCTAATACCGGTGCCAGTCATCTTGTGTGGATCGATCGCAAATCCGCCAGGCGCGGCAGGTCGATCTGATAAGGGAAAATACTCGGGACGCAACATATACTCAGCAACAAGACCACTTGGGTCAACGAGAACACTTTCCGAAAAACACTGTTCAGCAAGGAGCTCTGGTCAGACTCGCTGGCCGTCATCAGCTACAGCCTGTCATGCGAACTCCTGTCGGCATGGCTATGTCAGCGGTTTACCTGGTTTCCACGACAATAGCCGCCATGAACTTCATGTCCGGCAAAACCATCCTCCGAGCTGATGATGTCCTAGAACGACCATTTTCAGACATTGTCAATGCTGCTGCTGCGCCGATGCTAGGAAGACGACAGGGGAGTGGCGTCATTGCTGCTGCTGGAGACGCAAATGACATCAAAGTAAACAGTGATGGGAAGTTCAACATGACAGCCTGGGAGACAGCCACCAATGACGCCTGTGTTAAAGCCCTCAGCACGCTCCACCGCAGCTCAAACCCTTCAGGAAATTGCATATGCTACAACTTGCCTACACTCGATACCGTAACGGGCGTTTTCGAGGCGGAGCTAAGACTATATCGTATCTCAGAGCCCCGAGATGCATTCGCCAATATCCCTCCAGAGAAGATCAGAGTCGGTGTATCATATCAAGGTGCGAGTGTGAGCCCCGTCTCAGCCAACGAGGTGATGGGCATGGGCCAAGTGGACAATGAGACCAGGGTTGTCGCGCCGCGAGAATCGCCTGGCGGCCCCAGCTTGGTTCAAAGCTATGTGTTTGTAGGCCAGATTGATAAAGCAAAGATTGCGGAAAACATGTCAATGTAAGTTCTCGTGGAACCATGAAAATCTTGGGGCTCCCAACTTGCTGCTCCTTTTTACCTTGTCTCCATCCAGTCACTCACAGCATGCTCCAGGGCTGCCTTCGAAGCCGTTCTCATCCCAACTTTCACACTGACCGCCACCAATTCCACCGGCAGCTCAGTTCAAACGAATGTCTCTATGAACGAGGCTTCCTTTTTGACCGGGGTTTTCAGCAAATCCGTCGTCATGTCCGACTTCTCAGCAGCCCAAGCAGCCGTCACTAAGCAGCTTGACCTCTTACACAATGGCACTATAGCCTTCATTCTACCCGGCACGCAGATAATGATATTCCCCATTGGAGCCATCATCACATCTATCTGGCTGGCGCTGGGGCTTGTTGCATACGGCTGGGGCACATTTGAGAGAATGAATTATGCAGAAAAGTACAAGAGGAATTTGGCGGGTATGAGGGTTGCATCGACTATTTAAGTCATGTATCAAAGATGGAACAGTGGTGGGCATGGTTAGAAGTGGTTACATTAAAATGACATCTTGGCATAGCGAGCCTTGGAATTCAGCGTTGGGATCTTTTTTCCCTTTTTTTCGGTCATTTTTTACAATCTTGGCTCGTCTCAGGGCGCCTAATACAAATAATGGATTGAATCTTCCTGGAATAGCATAACACAGCATTTGTATATAATCCTCCCTTCGCCACACACGGTTCACAGTGACTCGTTGCAGTCAAAAAGGACTGCATTTTAGATTCCACTATATATATTGAGGCTCAATCATTCTGGGTATATCTTTGATCGAAGTATGTAAACGCAAGTAAGAGACAGCAATGTGCGAACCGAGCCGTGTCACATCAGTTTCGGGAATATGGCTGCCGTCTTGGCTGCCGCCATGCATGCTTGTCCCCTAGTTACTCATCCACCCTAGGAATGGGAGAAGGTACGTAGTAATAGGCGAAGCCGCTTTTGTCACATGAGACAAGGACCTGTATGCATGAAGAAAAGAAAAGGAAGAAGGAAATGAAGAATGTATTTGCCCCGCCCACTTTACGCCGTTCGTGTTCCACTCATGTACGTTCATGTATCGTGAAAGAGGCTTGCCCTTGAAACTCGGACTGTAAGCCACCACATTTTACAATGTCCCTTTAGATTGTGACAGAGGCTTTGCAATCTCCCGCCCTCATGCGACCCTTGGCCCACATGAGACACTCGGTAAAAAGCACATAGCAACCGGTGACTGCCCAAAAGGTGATGATTATGCCGAGACCACCCATTAACCTAGCGTCGATGATACTGCGTGTCATGGCCTCACGCAATGCGTTATTCATCATGAGCCAGCCGTAAATGGGGACGAGCTGTTGCGCGGTGGATGACAGAGTAGCGGGTTCTGACAGTTGCCTCGACTCCTCACACTCACGCATACGCTCTGAAATAGTATCAGCCATGCGCCAGGCAACCTTGTTGTTGATCTTGTCCCACGTCGCTTGGCAGGCGGCTTCTCTGGCTGCTACACCAATGCGTTTCCGCAAGATGTGGTCATTGGCCAGCTTCACGGCCTTTGTCACAAACGCGTCCATATCATTTGGTGGTATTAAGTAACCAGTGTCGCCGTGTTGAACTATATCAGACGGACCACCTTCGTCACGGGCGATGACCGGCACGCCACTGGCCATGGACTCAAGTACTACGAGACCAAAGGTTTCCGTGACGGAGCAGTGCAGGAAGACGTCGCCGCTTGCGTATGCAGTCGCAAGATCTTCGCCGACTTTGAATCCTGCAAAGATAACCTTGCCTTGTTCTCGTAGTGGATCAAACAATTCCTGCACCTCTTTTTCAACATCTGGGTTTCTGTTACCGCCAACAATGTAAAGCTTGAAGTCCAATCCCCGTGCGTCAAGTTCCGTGGCTGCCTTGGCAAGAAAATCGAAGCCCTTCTCACCGGCAATTCTTGAGACGGTGACAAAGATAATCTCTCCATTTGGAGCAAGCCTCTTGCGCAACTCCTCGCTTCGTCGCTTAGGGTCGAACATTTCGGTATTCACACCTCTGGTCAAGAGTTGGAGCTTTTCGGACTGCACTTTGTTGTTGACGAGGTAACGTCGCACAAATCTTGAAGGGTAGAATATGGTCTTGATGGAAGAGTGTCGGAAGAGATAGCTCTGGACAGCATCAAATGCAAAAACAGCAATATGACTCAGGGGCGAAGGGAAAAGAATTGCACAGTATCCAGCAAGATCAGTCTGGAAGTTGCAAATAATCGGTATCTGTTTCTCGCGTGGCTGTTGGCGTAATTGAAGCATGACCTGGAACCCCAAACTCGCAGGCGAGGCCAAATAGATCAAGTCTGGCGGCGAGTCGTCGCCAAACGTCCGCGAGTAAAGGCTTGAATTGCGAACCGGGTACACAATTGAAAGCTCGGGATTGAATGGAAGAGGATAGCCTGTTACACGAACTTCAGGCTGTTTGTCGGCGGGCGACAGGTTAGGCGAAGGGGGCGGCGAGAATGTGTTGTGGTTTGTATGGTTATGAGGCGCTACCACTGCCACTTGCGCGCCGTTATTGCGCAAATGGTTCACAAGCATTAGTGTCGTGCGACTCACGCCGTTGACAGGGCCGAACGATTCGGTGCAAAGAAGGATGCGTTTTCCCTTCAAATAAGCCGGGAATTGAGACAGGTCATGTTCTTTGTACGGTGATGAGCCACCTGCGAATTTGGCCGACGACATTGCGATTCAGATCCGGAGGCGATGCGCCAACTTGATTGTGATGAATTTCTCCAAATGTTTACGAAGTTGAAAAACAATCATAAGTCATATTTTTGCAATCGCGGTCGCGAGGATACAACCTTTCTTTTCTCTGCCTGGCCCTGTATAACTGGACTTGCAGCCGCGGCCCAAGGTGACACCACGTGGTCGCAGTGAGCGGCCATGGAGATCTTGAATCGAAGCTATCTCAACGCGGCACATGACTCTATCTGCGGGCGGGAACTCACGTTTGGCCACAACGGTGACCCCTGTGTGCGCCACGAGCATTCAGAATTGGACCCTGTTCGTCGGCAAATGCAGTGATGACGGCCATGGGTCGGGGGTTGGCAAGCAGGGACGGTCGTGCTTGAAGCCCCTCCATCCAGATGAGGGGCAAATACCTTGCATGGAATGCAAGGGCACTGTTCTCGAGGTCGATAGCATGCTCGTGCCGGAAACTAGGACTTCAAGATAATTCTAGGCGTCAGAGACGAGGGTCTTTGCTCTGTACCATACTGTCGAACTGTGCGGTTATTTGACCCGTTTCCAGTTATTGCGTTGTGGCGGACGAACCTCTGCTGTTGGCATAGCGAACGCGACATTCATGCACAATTCGTCATGAGGGATAGTATGCATGTGCTCCGAGGTTCACAGTAAAAGAGACGGATCAAACGTTGGCTTCGTGGCGTGTAAGTCGGCAAGCCTGTCAAGGTTGAAGTGAAAGCCGCAGCGGACCAATCATAAATGGCACTGCAACCACATTGCTCTCGCGGACCAATCGACAAGTTTCGGTCAATGGAGGACAGCAAGACGTATGCCACCACCCCAAATGCGCGAATGGGCATCTTCAGCGAGCTCCTCGTGCTTCACTTGGTTGGCCATGTCGACTTGAGAATGATAGGTCAACCAAACTTACTTATACTACTTCTGGCTCAGATGTCAGACTTGTGCCCATGCTAGAATTTAGTGCAAGCGGATGTCTAGCCAGAGGATGGCCTCTCTGTGCACTTACTTTGTTATATATACCCAATCCCATGCTTTTAAATGGCCCATGTGAATTGCCCCAGATTGCGATTGCAGGCGTGGCAAAGCCTGTCCGTTGGATCAGATGCGGTCACGTATGTCTCCTGCCGGCTTGCCCGTACAATTAAGGAGGGCGGCGGCGAATTACCAGAGTACACAGCCTCGTAACAGTCCATTCTTAGGTGACTCTAGATGTCACGGTCCCGAAAATCAGTTTTCGAGCAGGGCCTTTGTCTCAGCCAAGTAGGGCGATGGCGACTCGGGAAATGTCTCAGCTGGTTCGGTGTGGTTTATCTTCTGATTTCGCGGCCAATATTTGTGACAGCAGGCGCAGAATTAACTCGGTCTCGGCCTATGCGGACGGACAATGGCCCTTGGAGGGCTAAGGCGGAAGCTCAGGACCTGATGATTGCATGTCAGCAAATCTGACTTGTACGGTTGAAGGCATCAATCATACGCAGGAAATCCAGGGCGAAACGAATCCAATTGTGGCGCATGTAGTAGTTGATGTCAAAGACGAGATGGTTGAAAAGTTGAGACAACGACAGTAGTCCCTCAATTGACATTTCTGGTTGTCACGGCGCTTGTAGATGGCTTCTCGCTGGACTTGCTACCCTGTAGTATCCCAGGGCGTTGACAGACGGCATCCTTGACTGGTTACTTTGATATATCTTTCGATATTAATCCCAAGGTACGGCAGTCATTGTTCCAAAAAGCCACAACCCCCGGCACTCATTAGTGTCTGCTGGCTAGATCTAGGGTCGGGCCAGGTCTTTGCTTCATTGGTTGCGTGGCCATCAGGATGCTCGTACATATTTCAGCCTCAGCCACTGCAACCTTGTTGATGACGCAAACAGCCAACCACTTTTTGGTCGGCACATTTGCGATGGTAGATGCAGCGATCAGTCGCTGGCTTGTGGTTATGTATAACTAGGTGTTGGAAGGTCAAAACTGTCTCGAAGCTTGATTTGACATACTGTTTCGTAGCATCAAGTGCAATGTGCAGAAAATCATCCATTACCAAGGCTTGACGGGTGGAAGGCGCTGGTTGCAGGAGGCTGCCGAGAACGGCCCGGGGCAAGTACGTCAGCAGTTTTTGGGCCCCGGCGTGTGGCTTGTCCAGGTGCAAGGCCAGGAATGGTCGACACGCGGCCTCACGACAACCAAAAAATGAGTGATGGAGAAGGAGACAAGGACAATGCCAAAAAACCTGCGAAATAATGCAAGAGATGAGGCTATTCGCGCATGCTTCTTGTTTTTCTGCATTCATGAGAATTCCCGAGGGCAGCAAAGCAAGAAGCTTTTGAATATTACTGCGGCAACGGTTGGTTCGCGGAGTGCCAAGTTCCTGGTTCCTGCCTTCCAGCCAGACGCCACCAATAGCTGATGGACAATTTTGAGCATTGTCTTGTGGGGAGGAAGGAGAGATCCCCACCTCGATGTACATATCTAAGTTGGTACGTAGGTATGTACGGAGGACGGAGTAGACATATCAACTTGATTGTGGCGGCGGGCTCTGTTCGTGGTGGTCTTGGGAAGAATTTTCTTTTTTTCCCCTTCCTTTTCCATTTACATTTTTTGACCGCACAACACATTACCGTGATAGAACGGGTGTGGGTCAGACTAGATTCTTGCTTGTCCCCGATGACACGGGCACAGCATACAGGAGTGGTAACCTTGGCTTGGCAGTGTAGCTTGTGCACTCAAGCCT